TGAAAGTGCTAAACTATGGAAAGTGACTTATACGTTCCTAAATAAACAAAAAGGTTCAGTCCGTAACTACTGAACTTAGATAAGTTCTGCCTAATGATCTCGGAACTCCAAGAGGATCTGTTTATAGTTATGTCAAATTCACAGGGTTCTCCTAGATAATACTGAACCTTGAAAGATTCTGTCCAGCAATTCTGAACTATATAAAAAAATTTACCGGATTATAATGAGTCGAAAGGTTCTGCGTAATAATACAGAACCCCATAAGATTCTGTGTCTCAATATTAAAAGATGAAAAGTTGCTTTCATCGTGGTAACAAACTGAAAAGATTCTGTACGAGCATACGAACAATAACATTTTTTCTAAAATGGTTTAGACTAAATTTGACAGAAGTATTTTTTCAGATATAGTTCTGGCTGTATTTGACAGAACCTTTTTTTTATTAGTTCTCTTTCCTTATCTTTGCCATACTTTATTATATATTTATCGGACGATAAGTGTCGACGATGGATAATGTCCATGTATTTTATTTATTTGAAATTTGAAGAACAAATGAATTTCTTTTCTATTGATTCAATATATCGAGCTTGTTTACTTATTATTTATTTCAGAAGCACATCAATACAAATAACAAATTTATTGAAAATACTTAAGCGTAAATAGTCATCGTAATCCACCATTATAAAGGTATTTTAATTCTATTATTAACCTATACTATTTTCATTTGTTTTAGAATTAAGTCGAAGTTAATCATAATTTCAATAAAAGTCTTATTAATTAATAATAATCTCATCAAACAATTAAAAAGGTACAGTGGTTCTACTACTCATGTTTGTTATATTTAATCTCTATATAAAATTTCAATATCTTTTTGCTAATACAATGTCATAACCATGATTGTTACAATACAAAGATTAAGGTCTATTGATGTTATTTTAGACTATAGAATTATATATTTATGTCTGCTTTTACTTCCATTATATAGTACTGAAATAAGTGCTGTTTTCATTATAGAAGTGAAATTACTTTTTTCGAAGAACTCTCTATCGATACTTCAAATACAGTACAATGTTTTTAATAACTTTGTTGCATAACTTACCTTCCTTTGTAAGATTATATTTCAATCAATTGCTTTTTCTTTTTTTAGCTTGAACTTGGTGATTATTAAAACCCGCATTTCTCGTCTCAAATCCGATTGAATCTCTGGCTTTATTTTCATTATTATTTATTTTATTTAACTTGAAACACGATGAACATGAATTCAGCAAGTGTTTTACAATGGTTAAAATCCTTCGTTCAAGATGAAAATATTATTAAATCTTTTGAAGGTAATTTATTTTGTTTCTTTTTGATTCATACAGTATTACTTATATGAATACAAACATACATCCTAAACGAAACCATGAACGCCACTTGTTTCAGATTTTATACTATTCCGAGTGATAAAATTATTGTATCGATACTTCAAAGATCCAATATCATATGTCTTAACAGAAAAAGTATTATTAACTTTATTTATATTTAAAATTATATTGGAATATATTGTAACGATATATCTATTAATTTCTAACGTTTTGAAAAGTTAAATATTTATTGTATCTTTCTGTTTTTAAGGTCCAATATCACCTACACCTTGTATTAAAATGTTGGATGATAAATACGAGCTCTATCTTGATTACGAGCTTATTGTACAAACAACATCTGCTCAAAGAGGCAATTTCAATTCTAATTGGTTTATATAATATTTTTCAAGTAAAATTCACACGTCATTCTCGTGGTGTTTATTTACTATATGCAATAATGTTTCAAGATCAAAATGAACTTACTAAATCATTAAGAAATCTTCTTGTATCATGGCATTATACAATTCAAAATAAATTAGTTGTTCGTCAACATCTAAGTACAATAACAGCAACAACATTAAACAATAGTAATATGATTCAAATTACAATATCAATGCAAACAAATGAAAATGGTTTAGATGTAGTTGAAAAAGTTGATCCCATTCAAAATCAAACAATTAATGATATGGATCAAGAATCAGCAACAAATCATTCACTCAATCATGCGCTAGCTTTAGGTAAGTCCTAAAAATAATACTATAAACTGATCATTCTATGAAAATGTAATTTTTCAACCACAAGTAGACAATGAAGAAGTTGAATATGCAGTTATAACGAGAATGGAAATAAATGCAATTAAATGCTAATTTTAATATATTCATGAATTTTCGATTCTATGGAGAGAATCATCATCAGACGAAATTAATACTAATAACAACTAAACATAAGATGTTGTTATAGTTAACCCTCCAACCAACCCCAAACCTCAACTTCATTATTCATTACATAGTCAAGCAGTATATGAGCATTTACACAATTATACAGAGTTTTTACATTTATTATTATTTTTCTCTGTTTATCATGGTTTCTGGTGTATAGTAATACTCTTATACAATGTTCAAGGTGTTCAACTGGTATCAAGATGGTGTTATGGTTGGTACATTAGGTTTGGGGTTGGTTGGTGGGTAACTATAACAACATCTTATATTTAGTTGTTATTGTTAATTTCGTCTGATGATGATTCTCTCCATAGAATCGAAAATTCATGAATATATTAAAATTAGCATTTAATTGCATTTATTTCCATTCTCGTTACAACTGCATATTCAACTTCTTCATTATTTACAACATTAGCTCAACTTCATTATTTATTACAGAAGTAGACAATTTCACATTACTATTCAAAACAAAAATATTTTGATCTGTTATTTCGAAAATTCCTCTCTAATAGTTATTTCAGTTTTCTATTATATTTCATTGTTAGTTGTGGAAGAAAATCCGATTGTAATATCAACTATATCAAAAAATGGATCTATGTCATCGAAGAAACAATCTTCACAACCTGTTGTCGATGAAAATATTTTTGAGACAATTGAGAGCAGTTCTTTTAATATTGAACCTGTAACTAAAGCATCGCAACATCCGAAAAAACGTAAATCAACAACATCCTACGAATATATAACAAGATCTTCAATTCGTCTATAATCGAAGAAATCTCGCTTGACATAATTGGTTAATCATTGAAAACTTAAACATTATTTTTCCCATAATTCGTTCTCATTATGTCCTTCTCATATGACAAAAGTAGGACAAATGTAACTAATGTGATATACTTTGACTTTTTCTTATTGATTTTCTTACGCATAATATCACATTATGATTACAAAAGAAGCACTTATCTTACAAAGCCTTCTTCTTTTCGATCCTCATTTCTTTTATAACCATTTCTTGAGATCAAAAATAAAATGAAATGAAACAATACGTCTTACATCTTTTCTTTTCTCTGTACGATATATCAATGCTAGATTCTATCTATCAGACTGTTATTCATACTCATAGCATGTTTATCCTGACATACTTATTAAAAAATGAAACAAAGAAAAACTTTATCAAGTATCATATTTATCCCATATTAATAGTAAGTTAGATCGTTCACAACAACGACACATCTTTTTCTTCTATTATGTAAGTTCATCTTGACGTAACATCCGTGATGAGTGATGTATCGAAAATGAAAAAAATATTTTCCTTTCAACTTCACTTTATATCGATCGCATCCAAATGGTACCCTATATATTTTAAAACAACAAAACTAATATCTTTATTCTATATTTAGATTGCTCCTCAACTGATTTCATAAGTAAGTTATGTATTTTAAGTAAATAAAACTATTATCTACTTTTTATATTTAGATTCATCCTCATCTAATTTCAACGTCGAGTTATATATTTGAAACAAATGAGAATGATAACTTCTTTTTAAATTTAGATTTATACTCATCTCAATATATTAGTAAGTTACGTATTTTAAATAAATAAAAGTAATATCTTCTTTTATTTTAGATTCATCTCTATCTAATTTCAATAGTAAGTTATGTATTTTAAAATAAATAAAACTACCATCTTCTTTTTTTATTTTAGATTGACCTTCATCTAATTTCGTAAGTTATATATTTTAAATAAATAAAGAAAAATAATATCTTTTTTATGTTTAGATTTATCCTCAGCTGATTACAATGATGAATTACGCACTTGACGTTTCACGATCACTGTGGTCGTTCTGACATCTGGTTCTCATTTGAAACATGGTCATCATTTTGATAGGTACGTATGCTCATAATAAGACAATATAATTTGTAGTGATTCAGCAGATTCTGCAATGCAGAACCTGTTGCTGCATTTGAA